GATCCCACTTAGCTTCAGCTAAACGGATGGAATCTTTGTTCTCTGTACATGCCTGTTTCTTTCTGGAGGCAGGGTTGGTCTTCCTCTGACACTCAGCAAAGTGCTGAGATTACAGGCATGAGCCACTGCCTGGCCTGACATGCCTCTATCGTTTTGTTTTGTTTTTGAGACAGAGTCTCACTCTGTCGCCAGGCTGGAGTGCAATGGCACAATCTCGGCTCGCTGCAACCTTTGCCTCCTGGGTTCAAGCTATTCTCCCACCTCAGCCTCCCGAGTAGCTGGGACTACAGACGTGCACCACCACACCTAGATAATTTTTGTATTTTTAGTAGAGATTGGGTTTCACCATGTTGGCCAGGATGGTTTTGTTCTCTTGACCTCATGGTCCGCCTGCCTTAGCCTCCCAAAGTGCTGGGATTACAGGTGTGAGCCACCGTACCCGGCCCATGGCTCTATCTTAATGAGCCTTTGCTCTAGCGATTCTGTCCTAGGTAGGCTACACTTGCACATCTAATTCATCTGTCAATGCCCTTCAATGCTATGTCCACGAAATTCCACCAGAAGCCCCTCTATCCCATGCTGGAAGCCTCAGAACTGCGCCTCTATGTTTTTGTCCTGGACACAATCGGCCCAGAAGGTCTTCCCCAAACTTTTGTCAGCTGAATTCATACCTGGTATCCTTCTCCCCCAGTTTATGTAAACTTACTGCAAGGACTTTAACTTGGCTCACCAATGTCTTCGCCACCCAGAACATTTAGAATGATGCGTGGCACACAAGAGGGGGCCAATACATTTTCACGAAATGAATGTAGTCCTAGGATATGTATCTGTCTTTTGATATGTTTTCTGAGTGATCAGTGTTCTTCCCCAGGGTTCCATGACTCCAAACCAGCCTCCATCTCCTGGGAGTAGGAGGAGGCCCAGCTGTGAAGTCCAAACTGCTTAGAATTCCCAGGAAGGAGGAGCCTGAGAGAAAAGCAGAAAGGGGAGAAGAGGAGATGACTCCTGAGTCCCAGCTGGAAGAGGAATGTTTTGTTGAGGAACAAACGCTCTTTATATTTCCTTGCTCCTAGTGTGACTCATTTTTGCTGACCTGAATTTATTATACCCCCTGGAGCCTTGGATCTTGACCTTCTCTTTCTCACTTAATTCAATTTTGTTTTTTTTGAGACGGAGTCTCGCTCTGTTGCCCAGGCTGGAGAGCACTGGCATGATCTTGGCTCACTGCAGCCTCCACCTCCCAGGTTCAAGTGATTCTCCTGCCTCAGCCTCCTGCATAGCTGGGATTACAGGCACCCACCACCATGCCCAGCTAATTTTTTGTATTTTTTTTTTTTTTTTTAGTAGAGACGGGGTTTCACCATGTTGGCCAGGCTGGACACAAACTTCTGACTTCAAGTGACCCAGCTGCCTCAACCTCACAAGTGCTAGGATTACAGGTGTGAGCCTCCACACCTGGCCAAGACAGGGGTTCTTTTCTTTTTATAGAGTCTCACTCTGTCACCCAGGCTGGGGTGCAGTGGTGCAATCTCGGCTCAGGTGCAATGTCGCCTCCCGAATTCAAGTGATTCTCCTGCCTCAGCCTCTCGAGTAACTGGGATTACAGGCGTGCACCACCACACCTGGCTAGTTTTTGTATTTTTAGTAGGGACGGGGTTTCACCATGTAGGCGAGGCTGGTCTTGAACTCCTGATCTCAAGTGATCCACCCTCCTTTGCCTCCCAAAGTGCTAGGATTACAGGGGTAAGCCATCGTGCCCAGCACTTAATTTGATTGGAGACATCCAGTGGGACTACAGTCAGGTCACACTATGAATCGTCCGGCTTAGTGGCAGGGTGTGAATTCAAGTTTAGGATGAAGAAAGTTCACCTTTGTGTCTCCAGGCCTCTAGGCCCTGGAACAGCTGCCTCTGTGGTTGATGGTGGCTCCTCTGGTTGGCCTTGACATGTGTGGGAATGTCACTGCCTGGTAACCCCCTCAGTTGGCCAGCATGGTCTGGAGGTGGGGGATGGGGGTGTCTCCCAGGGGTACCCGTCTGAATGCTGCTGTTGTGACGGTTGATTCTGTTCCCTGAATATGAGAAGGCCTTGGGGAGTTGACAGGGCCAGAGGTAAGTTTTGAATCAGCAATTTCCCAATGGCCACTCAGAAACATTACACATTTGGAAGGGACCAGCAGGAGTCTGTTTGGGAGCTGTCATAAGCCCTTGGCGTCAGAAACACTGACCTGGTCTCTGAGCTTCTGACCAAGTCTCCCTGTAGCCAGGCCTTCCCCAAACCTGCAGTCTCTGCCTGGCCTCAACATCTGGCACTCACCCAGCACCTCATTCCTGTCCCCAGTGCAGCCATACTTTGCCAGTACCTTCAGCCAGGCCCCAGGGAGTGACCCTTTTCCCACAGCTGGTACAGCACCCACTTCTCCCACAGCAAGGCCCGCCCCTGCTTCCTGCTGCCCAGCTGGCCCATGCTTCTCCTCCTGTCCCCACTGTGGGCAATGCTTGACCTAGAGGCCCATCAGTGGATCCACTGGCCTGGTGACATGGGCCTCAGAGGCTGACCTCCAAGAGTGAGAACTCTGCCCCTGGTTCCTTCCCAGGAGGGTCCAGATCCCTAAGGGAGCTTCCAGCATCTCCCAGAGCTCTTCTAGCCTGCGGCTGATAGGCACCATGCCGAGGGGTGGGCACTGCAAGAGACAAAATGTCATTGCTTTTAAGGTAGATTTTCAGTTTTCTCTTGTGTCCCTCAGAGGCCTGGGAGACCTAGGGCTGAGCCCACACTCCCTGGGCTACACTGAATCCTTATATCTCTCCCAGACTTTTTGCTTCCCCTCCCCAGGGTGAGAAAATAGCCCTTAGAGGCCACAAGGGACCAAACAAAGTAATCCATATCTTCCACCTGTCTGACGCTCCCTCCCATATATCTCCCAGTGACTCTCCTCGAAAATTTACCACCCTAGCCAGATTTTCTTTGTCCTGTCATTTCTGTTAAAATTGATCGTTCTTGGCCAGGTGCAGTGACTCAAGCCTATAATCCCAGCACTCTGGGAGGCCGAGGTGGGTGGATCACCTAAGTTCAGGAGTTCGAGACCGGCCTGACCAACATAGTGAGACCCCACCTCTACTAAAAATACAAAATTAACCAGGTGCGTTATGGCGCACGCCTGTAGTCCCAGCTACTCAGGAGGCTGAGGCAGGAGAGTCGCTTGAACCTGGGAGGTGGAGGTTGCAGTGAGCTGAGATCGTGCCATTGCACTGTAGCCTGGGCAACAAGAGCATAACCCTGTCTCAAAAAAAAAAAAAAAAAAAAAAAAAATATATATATATATATATGTATATATAGCTCTCTAAGAAATATAAAAGCACCTGGCTTTGCCCACTTTTTCTGACTTCTCTCTCGTGAAGATTCCCACTTACATGTAAAATGGATAAAATTTGTATTCTTTTCTCTTGTTAGTCTGTCTGCTATCTATTCATTTCTTCTTATTTTTATTTATTTATTTTTTTTTGAGACGAGTTTCGCTCTTGTTACACATACTGGAGTGCAATGGCGCGATCTCGGCTCACCGCAACCTCCGCCTCCTGGGTTCAGGCAATTCTCCTGCCTCAGCCTCCTGAGTAGCTGGGATTACAAGCACGCGCCACCATGCCCAGCTAATTTTTTTTTGTATTTTTAGTAGAGACGGGGTTTCACCGAGATAGAGTCTCCTAAGTTGTCCAGGCTGATCTCATTCTCTTGGGCTCAAGAGATCCTCCTGCCTCAGCATCCCAGTAGCTAGGATTACAGGCGATTCTCAATATGGGCCTAGATTCAACTAAAGAGCCCCAGTAAGAGCTAAAAGGCGAGTTGGAGGTGACTCCAACTCCTGTACACAGGACATGTATGAAGTCACATGGAGCACAGAGTAGCCCATTAGGAAATATGAGGGAGATCTCGGGGAGAGCTGATGACATTTACTGAGATAAGACCCCAGGAGAAGCAGGTTAGGGTAAGAAAGGGATGGGTTGGGTTTGAACTAAGGAGCCTTGGGCCATCCTGGCAGGGGCAGGACACGAGGGGAGCTGAGAACCCGGCTGCAGCTAGAGGGAGACTGGCGTTCGGGGAGGCGTCCTGCATAGCACATGCGAGAAGCTTCTAAAAGAGAGGACCCTCTGACTTTCTCAACCTTACCCTACTCTCCCCGCTGCCTCCTCCATCTAGAAGCTCCCAGAATTTCAGGCTCCAACAAACCTGCAATAGAGAGGTTCTCCTTTACCCACTCCATTGCTTTTGTGAAAGGAAAAGAAATCTTGGGGCCCCCACATAACTAAGCTAAAGGGAAAAGTCCAGCTGGGAACTGCTTGGGGCCGACCTGCCACCTGTTGTATTCAAAGTCACTCCTTTGCTGGTTGACTTAGTGGTGTATCTGACTGCCTCCTTTAGAAACGCTAATCAGAAACTCAAAAGAATGCAACCGTTTATGCCTCTTCTTCTGTGACCTGGAGGGCCCCCTCCCTGCTTCCAGTCTTCCAGCCTTTGCTTCAAGTTGTCCCGCCTTTCCACACAGAACCAAAGTACTTCTTACATTTGATGTCTCATGTCTCCCTAAAATGTATAAAACTAAGCTTTGCCCGACCACCTTGGGGAGATGTCGTGAGGACTTGCTGAGGCTGTCACCGACGCGTCCTCAACCTTGGCAAAATAAACTTTCTAAATTAACTGAGATATGTCTCGGAGTTTCTGGGTTCACACGTTTTACTCTCAACATTGGAAAGAGACTGCTGTCGCCATGTTTCTGAGATAACGAGGACAAAACGAGAGAATGATGGGCTGGAGCCCGATTATAAAGGTCCAGCGACAAAAACTAACTTGAGTTCACTGGGGGACTTCCGTGGGGCGCTCCTTTGTTCCCGCAAACCCGGGCGGAGCTCTGGCCTGTGCCGCCTCACCTGGCGGGGCCGGAGCATGCGCAACTCTTTCTTAAGGCCGGCGCCTGTAGCCGCCGCGGCCATTTTGGAATAGGGCAAGGACAGAAAGCGGCCCAGAAATAGGGGGCGGGGGGCGTCGTCTTGGGCACAATTGCGCAGGGGCAAAGGTCGAGCGGTCCCGCTGCCGCAGTTTTTGAAAACATCATCCAATTCTGATTATGGACTCGCAGCCATCGAACCTTAGTTTCCATCCCCTCTAGTGAAGACTCTAGTGACTTCCCTCCTTCCCTTGGGCCCGGGCCGAGGAGGTGTTCTCGGGCGCGGGAGGTTACGCAGACCCAAGCCCGGCCAGGGGAGGCGACCGATCCGTCGCCGGCGCTGACAGTCCTCATGGCGCCGCCTCTGGCCCCGCTCCCTTCCTGGGACCCAAGCAGGGCCGGGCCCGAGTTGAGGGAGCCTGGGGCCGTGAGCTTCGGGGACGTGGCCGTGTACTTCTCCCGGGAGGAGTGGGGCTGTCTGCGGCCCGCGCAGAGGGCCCTGTACCGGGACGTGATGCGGGAGACCTACAGCCACCTGGGCGCGCTCGGTGAGAGTCCCACCTGCTCGCCTGGGCCCTGCGCCCCCACAAGACCTGCCGCACCTCAGGGAGCTGCGCGTGGAGTGGGGGGCCCCGCGGCCGGGCAGGCGGCTTCCCCGCAGCGTGGGATTTGCGTTCTTCTCCCCCAGGAGTCGGAGGCAGCAAGCCGGCGCTCATCTCCTGG